GGAGATCGTGCGTGTCGAGTGCGCGAAATGCAGGCGAGAGTGCGATTTGTCCGGTGCGCGCAACCCTCTGCAGAGATCGTGCGTGTCGAGTGCGCGAAATGCAGGCGAGAGTGCGATTTGTCCGGTGCGCGCGCAACCCTCTGCGGAGATCGCGCGTGTCGAGTGCGCGAAATGCAGGCGAAAGTGCGATTTGTCCGGTGCGCGCGCAACCCTTTGCGGAGATTGTGCCTTTAGTACGCGGAGCAATCTGTGGAGTTGGAAACTGAGAACTGGCGACTTTGTAGTACAACTTTAGTACGCGGAGTAGCCGGGGAGCTGGAAGATGAGAATTGGCGACTTGATAGTACAACGTTAGTATGCGGAGTAGCTGGGGAGTGGGAAGATGAGAACTGGCGACTTTGTAGTACAACTTTAGTACGCGACGTATCTGGCGAGTTGGAAGATGAGAACTGGTGACTTTGTAGTGCAACTTTAGTACGCGGATTAGCTGGGGAGCTGGAAGATGAAAACTGGCGACTTTGTAGTACAGTTGAGCTGGAAGCTGAGAACTGGCGACTGTGTAATACATCTTTAGTACGCGGAGCAATCTGTGGAGCTGGAAGCTGAGAACTGGCGACTTTGTAGTACAATTTTAGTACGCGGAATAGCTGTGGAGCTGGAAGCTGAGAACTGGCGAGTTTCTAGTACAACTTTAGTACGCGGAGCAATCTGTGGAGTTGGAAGCTGAGAATTGGCGACTTTGTAGTACAACTTTAATACGCGGAGCAGTTGTGGAGCTGGAAGCTGAGAATTGGCGAGTTTCTAGTACAACTTTAGTACGCGGAGCAATCTGTGGAGCTGGAAGATGAGAACTGGCGACTTGGTAGTACAACTTTAGTACGCGGAGTATCTGGGGAGTGGGAAGATGAGAACTGCTGACTTGGTATTGGTAGTACAATGACTTGGTAATACAACTTTAGTACGCGGAGTATCCGGGGAGCTGGAAGATAAGAATTGGCGATTTTGTAGTACAACTTGAGTACGCGGAGTATCTGGGGAGTTGGAAGATGAGAATTGGCGACTTGGTAGTAGAACTTTAGTACGCGGAGCAATCTGTGGAGCTGGAAGATGAGAACTGGCGACTTTGTAGTATAACTTTAATACGTTTCATTCCAGCTTGCTTTTTTTAGTGAGATTTCCTGGAGGCGTGCACGCTGTTTCTCCCCTTATCAGCAGCCCAAATGCTCACGACGATGAGCTGGGCTGTCATCGCTTGACCGCCGGTGGGGGGTTTGGGAGGCTTATTTGCTAATTTGTTCACTATATATACATTGAAGGCCTTCACCAACAGCAGACATGGACATACACACACAGACAGGGACTCATACACACACACATCACACACAGAGACCCACGCACTGCCTCAACTTACTCGGACACACACACAGACAGAGATTCATATACACACGGACATAGATACACACACAGAGACCCACACACTACCTCAACTCACTCGACTTAACACCTCACACTGCACACTTAACAGATAACTTGCACTTTGACTTCCTACGTGATGAAAAATGCTTTCGGGCCACTCGTCGTCTAGTTTGAATCATTTTAATAAATATACATATCTTAATTTAAAATATTTATATTATAATTGTAATGTTTATTTATGTATATTAGATAATTTAAAGAATAAAAAAAAAATATTTTTTAAATATTTATAGATTTATTAATTTCTAATTTTATGTTTTCATATATGGTATAGTTATTTAAAAATATATTGTTTTTATTTTTATTTCGTAGGATTTATTATTTGTTTTAAATATTTATGTTTATATATATTTTTTCCAAATATATATTTATATTTATGTAAATCCCACGAGACCTTGAAATGATATATAAGTGTGGGATCTACCTCTTTATTCTATAATTTAATTTATTTATGATATATATATAAAAATAATAATCACCATATATTTCAATATTTACCTAATTAAATTATTAAAGATATTATATATATTATATTAGATTATTCTTTCCAAAAATAAATAGATAGATTTAACTTTAATTTTCTAACGTTTAATTCGAATATTGTTATTTTAATATTAAATATATTATAAATTATGTTTTTTATATAATATGCATCCGAAACAAATATTCAATCTCAAGAAAAAATAAAAGAAATAACAATTTTCCAAAAACATCCAAATGCAGATATTTTAAAATTACATTATATTTATGTCCCTAGAAAACTACTTATGCGAATATTATATACTAGGGTCGGCCCGCTGTTTGCAACAACGCAAAAATACGATCCTCAAAATTCGAACCCGATAGATCAACAAATGAATAAATTAACAAACCGATAAACCACGGACCTTTTTTTCTTCTTAGCCGTCAATAAAGAACATAGGTCTGGCTTCCATTCATCGCATCAATGACTTTCATGCAATAACAGAACACATTCTCTGTGAGTGGCCACGACAGCGGCACTCGCTGCCGCCCGGTTCTATTGCAGATCTCATCGATCATTTTCTGCAAGTTCCTTGTCACCTGCAGCGGCGGATAGCGAACAGAACACAGGTCAGTGTTACAGATCGCAGAGCATTGCGCCAGAATTGCCAGAAAGCGCGGACAGCCACCCACTGCAGGTAATCGAGGCACTAGGCTATAGGTTTTTTTCAAGAATTAGTCTCGAATGCCAAAGCCGCTATCCACCCAAAATTCGCCGATCCTGTCTAGCAACACCTTCATAATGAGGCCCTGATCCGGAAACAAAGACATGGGCTTTGCTGCAATTGCTCTTGACCATCTTGTCAAACATTCCCGGCTGATCCGTTGCCATGCAGCCCGAGCTCCTGTAAAGGCCAAAGCGTTGAAGGGACGCCAGCCGTTGTGATTGGCCGCTTTCCAAGCCATGGATTGTTCAGCGAGGTTGAGGACCGATTCACCGATGCCCTGCAACACGGCCCGGGCGTCTACTAATATCCCACCGTTGAAATTCTGCTCTGAAGGATTGAAATCCGCGTCGTCACCATCAGGCTCGTGTGCAATGTCTGGCATCTCATCTGCTGGCTCGAAATATTCTGCGCGCGGATTCCGAGGAACACTTGCCGTGTGTCCCCACACCATGTCCGAGTCGATCGTGGCCAGATATGCGATGCACCAAGCCGGTGTTGTCCGTGCCGATGTGTCATGTAGGCGGTTGCGTAGCAAGCGACAGATGCCACGGCCATCCGTAAGCACCGCATATGCACAAACCAATGTCAACATAGAACCTGGCCGCAAAATTCGTGGACAAACCCACAATAAAAATCAAGAAGGCAGATAACAAACAATGCAAACGATCGATAGAAACAATTCCGGTATTTCATACCATGAGAATCGAACATATTTGCATTACTTTACGAATTTTGGAAAGCAAAATTGATATCGCGAACATACACCGTGCCTAGCATTATTTTGACTATTTATGATTTCAAGATTATAATTCCCGGAAGCAGTTGCGCCTCTGCCGGGCAACGCGCAAGTGGCAAAAAAACTATTTAAGAATTGAATATCGAGCTGATTAGGACACCATCAATTTTAAGAAAACCCAATTCGTGCTTGCAAAGAAACATCTTTCTTTTCATATAAGAAGTTGTCTCCAATTTACATGCAATATTGCGCGATGTCCATGATGCTGGCGAAGTTGCAAAAGGCAATTCGAACAGAAAATCATTCAGAATATAGAACAAATGATCGGCGCAATCACAACAAGCCAGAATAAATAATGCACATATGGATATATATGTCCAAAAATATAGGGC